CCCACGAGGGTATCGAATCTCGATGGATCCGAGCTCACCAAGCGCTGTCTGAGCTGAAGAACAAGATCGCGACAACCCCAATGCTCCGCCACTTCGATCCGGATCGCCAATCCACAGTGGTCATGTAAACCAGCGATTGGGCCGGCTCGGCTATTCTGGTACAGGAACACGACGGGACCTATCATCGAGACACTTTGACAAAGTCGAACGCTCGAATCTAATCAGCTCAACTATGGTGTCATAGAGACAAGATTCTTGTACTTCTGCGAGTCCTGCAATCTGCTCGTGGGGCGAAGAGAAACGTTTCTATCCCCCCAAGTCCTTCAGAGACTCCTACGGATCTTGGCGCAAGTCAAGATCCACTAACAAAAAGGAAAAGTGAAGGCAAAGCAGTATTCATATATTGATTCACCTGTGAAGTCAACACCGAACCAAAGATCAAGCCTCTACTGAAAATCCAAAAGATATGAAGAAGAAGACGAAGACTATGCGGGCGAAGATTAAAGCTGCAGGACCCGAGGAAAAAGGTTAATCCAGATCGAGATCGACCTGGACCACTCGAGATCTGGAGCTTGTATACCGATACAAGACACTCCGCGACTTCCTGTACCGATATACCGTCATGAAGACCTTGGTGCTCGAGCAGATAGAGAATCCGATGACACCAGTGATGGCTCTGGTGTAAATGAGAGCAAGCCCATGGCGTCGACGGATTTGCTACGTCTGCTCAAGAATGCTGGTATTTGGGTGGGGACATTCGACGCCAAGGCCCTCTTCGCGCTGGATCTGGATGCGACCCCGTCAGCCGCTCAGGAGCTCTTCTGCCAACGCTGCGTCATCGTAGTGTTTCAACAAAGCCTCTAGCATTGTCGCCCCCGCGTTCTTTTTGTTGAGCTTGGTCACGTGATTAGCCCACGCTAGGACCCCTTTCATCCCAAACAGTCGTCCCTCCGCTTTCTCAAGCTCAAAGAGTTTGAAAGCTGCATCGGCTGACTTCTTTTGGGCGAGCCATAACTGAATCTGGGCTTGCTTGGCGCTGGACTTGACTAGATTCTGGATGCCAGCTACGGTAGCTCCCCTCTCTTCGTCTAGTTCAGCTGCTGCCTTGTCAATCCTCAACAGTCTGCTGGTGGTTGTTACATGTACTATTTAATGGTACTTCCTTGTAATGTGATACTTATGACTCATGCCTTGTGTACGACTCGATTTGAGCAGCATATCGCTCCAGCCTCGATGTTGACAATCTCTGGGCTACTAGCGTCAGTTCTTGCAGCATGCCACCGTTCGACGAAGTGACCACACGTAAGTTACCCTTTAGGCATCGTCGTCGCCGAGATTCTAGTGTGGGGAAAAATTCTAGTAAGCCAGGCAGCCAGTTGAGCTGCAGTGCTTGCAAGTCTCCGTTCCCCGGCACTTGTCGAGCGCCGTAATGTAGCGCCACGGCGTAAAAGTAGAGACTAGATCGACTTGATGAAGCTGCTTCGTTGATACCTCGCACCCCGAGCCACGCGTAGCCTGGGTCGTCAGGCAGCTTAACCTTGATGTTCTGGTCAGAGCTGCAATTGGCTCGACAAGTTACAACTTCAAACTGCTCGACACCCGTTTGCTGTCTCGATTGATCTCGACGTGCCGTATCTTCAGTTGGCGATACATCATGTTGGCGCTCAACAACAATATACCCCGGCAAGCAGCAGCGTGTAGTTAAGTTTCCTGCCATTGATCGGAATGCGATCGAAATGGTGCAAACTTCGCGTCGTGAAGGTTCGGGCAGCGATTTAAC